GCCTTTCCTGAGTTGTAGGAAATCCTGTGATACCATCGTATTTCTTCCATACTCCCTTCCTAGCTCTTATCCTGACCGCCCGTCCTTTAATGGTTTAGATGCTAGATTCACTCTGGTAAGTCACAGGTGTGTTTAGCAATGCATAACCTCAATACCTATAAGAAAAATCTGTATTGTATGTTACACCAGGTGCCGCTTATGTAGAGACATAAAATTCCATGATTTTGCTCATTATATAAATAGCAGTTTAGCATACTCTATTATTATGTTTATTATCTATTCACCTCCCCAACACAGATTTTTTTTTTAAGCTGGGATATTTTAAAGCATATTCCACACAAATTGTTTCACTTATAATACTTCACTTTGTATCTCTAACAGATAAGGCCTTTAAAAAAATCAAAATAAGACCACAGCGATATTACTGCTAACAAATAATAATTACTTAGTATCATGTAATGCGGTTCATATTTAAATTTCTCATACTGTTGCAAAGTGGCTTTTAAAATTGGCTTATTCAAATGCACTTTTTCTAACTTGTGTCTCTTAAGTGTTTTAAAAATCTACTGAACTTATAATGATTTATATATTGTATTTATCGTTTTACCTTTTTTCCTAGAGAGGAAATAATGGCAAACCATACAATATTGTACATTCACTTTCAAAAAACAAACACTTGTTTTGATAACTTGTTGATAAAGTTTTCCAAATTGATTTCTTTTTTCTTAAATATGTATAAATGTTAAATTAAGTCTTATCCTGGTATCTAATTGTCAAGAAAATATATTGTCCATTTTAATATATATATTAAATATAATATATTTAATATATATTATAATATATATTATATTATATATATACTCACAATATACTTGTGCTGAGGTCTACAGAAATGACTGACAAGAGTTTTCTTCACATCTTTTCCCCATTTTGCCTGAAAGGAAATATGTTACAGACAAGCTTGTGCACCATCCAGAGAGGAAGCAGTGGTTAGAATTCATTTTAGCCCACACCTTCCCCTGAGGAGGATGCAGGGAAGAGCCACAGTCATGTCAAGTTAGGTCAGGTGATGGAAATCCATACTGCAGAAAGCCTTAGTGCACAGTGCAGGGTACTAGCCTGGCAGGCCCCGCAGTGTGGTACCTAGCTGTGGGCAAAACACGTCAGAGGTATGAAGAAGAAAGAAGGACAGGAGGGTTTTCTGTGCTTTTATCACAGNACAGTGCAGGGTACTAGCCTGGCAGGCCCCGCAGTGTGGTACCTAGCTGTGGGCAAAACACGTCAGAGGTATGAAGAAGAAAGAAGGACAGGAGGGTTTTCTGTGCTTTTATCACAAAAAACAGATATGAGCAAAACTTTCAGAAGTATTTAAAAAATTATTAATACTAAGGTAGTTAACTCTTTAAGTATAGAGTCAGGGATATATTTTACAGCCAGACAACATGCAGTCCTTGTCAACACCATTCTGTCCTTTCCCTTTGAAACCAGATATTTTAATTGCTACTGTAGATGCAGCTTTTTGGGGGGGGCAGCTGGCCTGTATGGGGATCTGAACCCTTGACCTTTGTGTTATAACACCATGCTCTAACCAACCGAGCTAACCTGCCTGCCCCTGTAGGTACGGATTTATTCTAGGGCTTAGGCAAGTATTTTGTGACAGTTTGCTTTACTTTAAACACTCTAGGGGTTGTGTTTTATTCTATTTATAACTTAGTATCGCTTCAGGATTTTATAACCTGTATATGCTTCAATACTATAACATTTCTGTTCATTATTTTTTTAGCCTTTATTGAGTGTGAACTATAAAGGTGCTTCTACATAGATTGTTTTGTTTAATCTTCAGGTAGTCCTATTAGATAGGCAATGTTTATCTCATAGATTAGGAAAGTAAATGAGAAGACTTTTGTAGGAGTCATTGTCATAAAGTGCAGAGCCTAAATTTAAATCCCAGTTAAAACCGTCGTCCTCATAAATATAATTTACATATGTAATATAGCCTGTAAGATAAATAGAAATAACTTCATTCCATACATAAAGAATAGTTTTTTCTGACTTTTAAGAGTAAAACTTTGTTTCTAGTTAAATATGTGATAAACACTTTATATTTTAGCATCTTAAGATACTTAAGATGATGTAAATAAAAATGGTTAAGGGACTTTTCTTGGCTCACAGCTGATTCATAGCAAAAAGTACTTGTGAATTTCATATCTTACATTCAAATGTACAACCTAGAACATTTATTTCACAGTGTATGTATTCTTAATCAGTTAAAAATTTTTGAGCTTTGTTGTAGCAAAGGATAATTACTCAGCTCTTAATATTTGATTCCAAGGACAAAGTCTTGAACAAGGTCAGAGTAAAAATGTGAACTTTAAAACCACTAGTCCTAAGGGCTGTTGCACATAGGCTGTAACTAAGTGAGTGGAAATTAATATGGAGAGACCCACTGGTTGAAGATTGCTGTGTTCATGAAGCATATCAGAGGCCAAAGCAGTTAAACTAGGGAATCCTTATATGAGATATACTATCCCACAGGCTAGGTTCATTAAAAGTAGGATTCACTGATGGGGAGAAATGATAATTTTCATATGAAGTGGCAGTACTACCTAGGAAATTCTGAAAGGTTTTTATTTTTTCTTTTCCTTCTCCTGTCCCCCTTCCACAACTCAGGCAATTCCTTTCATCATCTAGCAAACATTTACTGGTGTCAGGGTGTTATGCTGGCTACAAGATCTGCAAAAAAGATATGGTTTGTGCCCACATGGAGCTTCTAGTCTAGTAACAATCAGTCATTCCAAATGTGGTAAGTGCTTGTGAAGGAAAATCCTGGGCACTATGAGGAGGATTTTGTAAGAGAGGTTAAAAGAGTGGAGAATGAAGGGGGGAGAGCATTTTCTAAACAGAGGGAACAGCAAATATCCTGAGAAAAGAAGCAGCAGTCAGAGCCTAGGAAGCCAAACCAGTATGGCTGAGTTGCATGGATTTTAAGCAGGGGAATGATTTGGTCATATTTGCATTAAAAAAATTGATGACAGTGATGTTTTTTTACTTGGGTGGTGGGTGCATGAATATTTTATTATTATGCTTTATAGTGTACATATTTATATGTTTTTTGCTTTGGTGTTTGTAAACTATTTCATAACATTTGCAAGTTTTAGTAAAAAACAGAAGCTGCAGTGTGAAGAATGGATAGTGTGAAGTCAGGAGACCTCTGCAGGAGTGTAGGTGAGCAGTAATGGTAATGGCAGTGGCGATCTCCAGAGGGATAAAGTAGATAAAATTGACATGACTTAATGGATTGGGTGAGTAGGGAAAGGGATAAGTCAAGGATGATACCTAGGTTTTTGGCTTGCATAGCTAATGCCACTCAATGAGTTAGGGGGATCCTGGAAGACCAGATGGAGACGGAAAATAATGGGCTCTGCTTTAGACACGTCATGCTTGATGTGCCTTATAGATATACAGATGGAGCAGGCAGTCGGTTACGAAGGTCTCAAACTCTCGTGTGTGGACACTTCAATCCAGAATCTTAGAAAGGAGTCTATAGAGGCTTTTTCATCCATTCTCATTTCTCTGACTCTTTAGCCCATGAATTAGCAACGTCCAGATGAAATGTGACTAGAGAGTAACAAATGTTTACTACTACATGAATATATTACATTTTAAATCATATAAGCTGGAATGAAAAGGAATGAGGATTTTTATTTCATCATTTATTTACCCTCTAGGATTTGTCTTCCCGTATTCCAGTGAGTGGTCTTGTCACCCCCACTTTGATTTGAGGACACATTTACAGAAGTTAAGGTAATTGAGCCAAAAGTAAAATCTGCCATATGATTACTTTTTATATTCACAAATCTTTGTCAACTACTGGTTATGCAAAGCCTTTAAGTGTTTTGCATTCTCCTGGCAAGTTTAAAGGTATCATTTAGTATTGTTTTCTTTTTCTCTATTGTTAGTAGTTTATCATTTATAGTTACAGTAATTGAAGA